GATGTCTATTGCTCTTACTATTTCATTTATTCCTCACAGTGACTCTAGGAGGCAGAGTTCTCCACTTGCCATTTTACACAAGAGGTAGGTGACACCCCAGACATTCTCACATAATTGGGCTGACATGCAGCCTGGGCATTGCAATTTTCAAAAGCTTCCCAGGTAGTCCAGATGTGAAGCTAAGATAAACAAGCACAGCTGGGGGGGGGGGGGGGGCAAGGGGTTGCCAGAAGCGCTGTTGGCAAGAACCAGTTTCCTCCTTTCGACATTCAGGGCAGATGAAGCTGGAGCTTGCTGGTCTCAGTGGGAGCAGGCCACAAAGAGGCCGCAGAGTCAGTTCAAGGAGGCCCTCCCCTCCTGCAGCCTCCCCACAGCCCCTGGATGCCTGGCTCCGAATCTCTGGCTGCTGCCAATTACAAAAGGACTCTTAACTCTGTTTCACAGCCCCTTGATTGATAGCACTGGTGAGTGAAATTATAAGGCTTAATGATCACGTTAATTTCTGGGGAAAGGGAAGCGGTCAGAAGAGGTTCTCAATCATAAGCACCTCAATCAGCTGGGTGAGTTCAATGACAGGCCAGAGCAGGGGGAAGAGGGGAAGAAATTAACTTTCTTAAAGGTCATCAGAGAGTAGGCGGAGAGCAGCCAGGCATGAAGGGTGAGGGGCACAAACGATCCTGGAGCCTGAGCACGAACCCATGTTCCCGGGCTCCTGGTCAAAGGCTGGCATCTGTGCTTCTCAGCCTTAGCCACACAGTGGACTCATCTAGGAGCTTTCCAATGCTAATGCCAGGGCCCCGCCTCAGAGACTCTGGTGTAATTGCTCTGGGATGCAGCTTGGGCACCGAGAGTTTCCAAGGCTCCTCAGGTGATTCTGTGTGCAGCCAAAATTGAGAATGACTTGCCTAAATGGAAGGATTTGGGAGGCAAGTAACCAAGGTTGGGCACATTTGGAAATGTGCTTAATCTGATTAGTTCTTGCCACCAAGGAGAATTTCTTCTGGGGCCATCTCCTGGCCCTACTTAAAGATAATGATGGTGAGAACAGAAGGAGGGAAATTAGGCATCATTGAGCCTCATGTTCCTTGGTACAGATGAAGACGCTGAGGTGCAGAGAGGTTAAATGACTTGCCCAAGATCACCTTGGTCATAACAAGAGCCCCAGCCTCTTTACCCTGGCCAGTGCTCCTTCCACTAGGCTCATCGCTGGGCCAGTGTGAAGAAGGTGCCCTGGATGGCACCCAGTGGGACAGGCCTTCATGGTAGAGGTGCCCAGGGCTTTGCTGCTCCTGGCTCAGTGTCCTGTGATGTGACCATTGACAAATATTAGAGAGTCCAGGGCCTTGGAGAAAAAAGGCCACCTGGCTTCCCTGAAGATCAAACCTATGACCTTGGCCTCCTCAAAACAGTGACCCTACTCACAGTTTCCCAGCAGAGCATTGCAACACTTTGGCACATCAGAAAGATGCCCAGGCTATGTGGCAACATCCTGGTTTCTTCATCAGAAGTACTGGCCTCCACACATTGCTGAGCCCAGCTCAGTGGGCAGCTGAAAGCTCTGATGACCCTCCTTACTGGTCTGTATGCACATCAGCAATATTTGGAGGAAAAAAAGCCACTTCGAGTTCCAAAGTGAGCTTCAAAAATCTAAAAACATTTAAAATACAGTCTACATAAAAAAAATAAATGCTTTTCATTTGGGGTAAAGGTGCTGGAGTTCTTCAGTTAAAGAGAGTTATTGTTCTTCAATTTCCATAAATGATAATGAAAAATTTTATTGTAAAATGAGTGGCTTGAGATTCTTAGAGCAGCATCTTAGCAGCAGAAAGTGTCTGCCAAGCTCCATCGATATTTTCACTTATCCACTTCTCTCCACCTGTATCATGACATGGGTACTCCCAAAAGTTCACAAAAGTGGCCCGAACTGAAAAATTTGGGGAACCAAGATCTAACCACGGGTACAGGGTGAGACCTATCTAATCAGTCAGTAAGCATTGTAGCCGAGGCATATTCATGATAGAAACATATGCATTCTCTGTATTTTTCTAACAGCTTCTGAAGTGTTCATCAAGCCTGTGTCTGATTAAGCACTTTTAAATTCTAAGCAATGAAATGGGCCCTCTCATACCCTCTTGGCAGGAGTGCAAATTGATACAACCCTTTTGGAGAGCCATTTGGCTCTATGTATCAAAATTAAAAATGCATATAATCTTTGACCCAGAATGCCACTTCTAAGAATTAATCCTACAGTAATACCTCCACAAGTCCACAGAAGTGTACCTAAATGGATGGTTCCTTGCAGCTTAATTTATTATAGTGAAAATCTACAAGCAACCCAAATCCATCAATAAGGAATTAGTTGAATAAAATATAGTCCATGCACAAATTGAAAGACTAGGCAGATGTTAGAAAGAATGACATAGAGCCATATGTACCACCAGGGGAGAGGGACATACACACAAAAATAACTTGTAGAAAAGTAGAGGGTTTCCATTTTTGCACAAACGATTAAGGACAGCCACCTCAGTGCAGGTCTGTGATCAATCAGCTCAGTTCTTGGGCTCCAAAATTTGACTGAAAACCTTGAACTATCAGTGAAATAATTCGGGAGTCTCAATTCAGTTTCTGAATTCATCCCTTGTTCTCTCTCTTCCCTAGCATCAAAAAACAACTGAAAGTAATTCAAACACAAACAGAAGACTCCATCATGGTATGTAAATGACACTTTTGACAAGTGGCCCTCCCAGATGTAGAAAAACTATTTGTCAAAGGAGAGGCACTGAAGACAGGATTTCGACTGCAGTAGTCACTTGGCTGGGTTCATCTTCTCTGGTTTGTATATTCAAATTGCACATATTGGAATAGTATATCTCGAATTGTATCTTCAAAGACCACTGTGGCACCATCCCCACAACACCAGCCTTAAAACTCCAGCCAGGAAGGGAGGTTTTTATTTATTTATTTATTTTTAAGGTTTATTATTATTTTTTTTTTTTGAGGAAGATTAGCCCTGAGCTAACATCTGCTGCCAATCCTCCACTTTTTGCTGAGGAAGACTGGCCCTGAGCTAATATCCATGGCCATCTTTCTCTACTTTATACGTGGGACACCTACCACAGCATGGCGTGCCAAGCGGTGCCATGTTCACACCCGGGATCTGAACCAGCGAACCCCGGGCCTCTAAAGTGGAACGTGTGCACTTAACTGCTGCGCCACCGGGCTGGCTCCAGGGAGGTTTTTAAAGTACCCAGCTGCATCCAGGAGAAAGCCCAAAGTGCCAGAAGAGACTGCTACCGAGTTTTTAATGCTGGGCATTTTCCAATGTTGAAAGCCAGGTTTGATTCTTGTTTGTAATGGCAGAGATGCCCAAAACAAAGGCAGTTCCAGTGGGAATCAGTATTCCCGTGGCGTGTCACCAGACACTTACTTCCTTGTAATTTTACTAAGAACATTTTAAATAGATTAGCCTATGATTGTGCTAGATTTTATTATAGGTCGGTGATACCTTTCCCTCCCCCGCCTCTCTGCCCCCTTGAGGTAGAGTTTGGCCACATGTCTGGCTTTGGCCAGTGGAAAGGGAACAAATGTGACGTGAGCAGCAGCTGTAAATGTACTTGCATGGTTTGGCTCAGTCTCTTGCACTTCTGCCCTCTGCGCCTCAAAGAAGTTGCATTAGAGAAACTGCTCGTCCAGAAGGAGGAAGCCCTGGAGCAGCTTGAGCCCAAACTACAGCCTGGACCCAGGCCCAGCTGGGCCTCCAGGGACCATGGTCCCGAGAGCAAGAAATCCAGTTTGTTGTGGTAAGCTTTGGGGGTGGTTTGTTACTCAGCATTGCCGAAGCAAACTTGACTGATACATGGAGGAACAGCCTCCAACCCATTGCTCAGCTTTGCCAAATCTTGTCATTGATCTCATATTTGTTTCTGATTCTTTTTTGTCGTATGAAATAAATCATTTTAGAAACATTTGCAGGGCCTCTTCGGGTCCTTCACCAATCCTGTCCATTCCCAAAAGCAACCACTATCATGCAGGCAGTGCTTATCATACCACGTTTGTTTTAAGCATCTCCCATACATTTATATATCTATAAACATATATAGTATTGTTCCGTAGGTTGTAAAATTTTATATAAATACCGAACTGTGTGTAACCTCTGTGATTCACTTCCCTCCCACCCTCAACACTGTATTTCAGATTTGTCCATGTTGATACATTGGTTCTAGTCCATTCACCTTACCTACTGTAACACTGTCTGTATATACCACAATGTATCTATTCTCTGTTGGTGCATGTTTTAGTTGTTAAATATGAACAGCACTGCAAGGAACATTCTTGCTTTTCTTTAAGACCTACTTCTCCTTTGCAGAGTCAGTAGACAAGTAGTGCATGGCTGACTCAACTTCCACACACGCAATCTGCAAGGTCAGTTTAGCCAAGAGTTGCTAGGGCTTCTGCTCCAGACTCTTGCTGGAGCTGCTGCCCAGGAGAAGCCCACAGTGCCCATGGCCTTGGGCACCTCTGATTCCCACCACTGGCCTCTGGCCAAGGGGCCAGTGTCCTAAGATTTGCTGGGAACATCTGAACGCACTTCCCACTGCTCCCTCCACATCTTACTCACCAATATAGTTCTTCACCCTCTATCTTTGTGATCATTGAATGATTTCAAGTTCCTGGTCAGGACTGAAATGTTGGCAAGGGAGTGAGAAACAGAAGAGTGAGTGAATGAAGACTCTGTTAATCGGCCTCTTTCTTTCTCACACAGCAATTTTTCTAACAGATGCAATTTCATTTGAGAGCTGCAAGAATGGAATCTTGCGTTTTATTTCTTTATTCATCATTTTACAAATGGGACTCACTGTAAAAAGGAAATTGCCTTTGTGGTTCAGTTCTTCAGACTGGAGCACTCGGGAGAGCTTCAGTTTTTACACCAGCTGCTGCCACCACCTTGGATCTGGTGGGTGTGAACCAGCCCCGGGGGGAGGCTAAGAAATCAGGCAGAGTTCATTTAAATTCAATATATTTTTATTCTTTGTAAATACAATGAGTACAACCTGTAACTTCACAAATCAGTTAATTCACTTTGTACAAGAAAAGTTTGACTCACCCTATGATAGGCCAAGTGCTGGATATTTTTCCTCAGTGCTAGTACCTAATAAATCAAAACGTGAAAAGTACAGCAGCTATTTTAAAATGTTTGTTTCTACATTTCCATAAGTATAGATTCATACCAAAGGAGCAGCGTATAGTATAGGACGATGTGTGTGTGTGTGTGTGTGTGTGCACATGCGTGTGTACGCATTCAAGGCTTTACTAGAAACCGGTTTTCTGAAAGGCATTGAAGAGTCTCAGGCTGTTAGCAATGGATCAGTCACGAAACCTTTCGCATCCGTCTCCTTGAAGTTCCTTCTGGCATCATATCTCTATTCATTTACTGTCTGGTGTGACTCGCTGAAACACGAGTGTCGACCCCCATTGCCTTTGGTTTCAGCACTATGTTAATGGGACAGCAATCTGCCTCCCTCCATCACTCATCTCCACTTTATTTGGTTTTGCTGTCTTTATTCACCCTCCCTCGACTTGTGTTCCTTTAGTAAAGCTCTTCTATTTTTGAGATGTTATCCAACCTAAAGTCCTGGTGAGAATCTCATTTTCGTCCACCAATTCCTTTGACAAGGTTGCCTGGCCTATGGTATTAAAAAGAAGAAGAACGAAAGAGAAGGGAAAGAAAAAAGAGAGAGGAAAAGCAAATCTCATGGCATCAGCTACCTTTCACTTATTAACTCAGTTCTGAAGGCCACTTCATGATGTATTACAATAGAAGGGGAACTTTTGATAAAACTTTTGATTGAAGACCTAACCATTATTTGTAAAATAAATCCTCCAACATAAGATAGTTCTGAAGGCTGCTGTCTGATGTTATACACAGAGAACTATATTTGGTTACCCAACTTTGTAAGCTAAAAAGGAAAAGAAAGTTCTACTCGTGTTTCGGCTTTTGATAATTCAGCCGGATCTTCCAGGAAGAGGCAGAACGGCAGGCCTGTGACAGCCCCCGATTCCGCCCCCCTCCCAGGGCATGGCAGCAGTGAGCGCTCTGCTCAGGGGTCCTGTGACTCCCCCTTTCCTTCCAGGCTGCCCTACCCTGGGTGAGGCAGCAGGTCAAAGCTACTGGAACTGTTCTGTGCCAATTGACATTTTTTCCTGCAGGCTGCACATCCCCAGGTTTATGCCCCCTGAAGCGTTTGTTAGTTGAGGCTTGTTCTCCGTGGGTAGAAGTTCATCAGAGACTGTCCCATCCTGAAAAGTGGGGACCTCGAGAGCTTAGATGTCGCTGGATTTGTACATATCTGAAAGCAGTCTTGTAATTGGCACGTTGCCAATGGTCTTTTTGAAAAACACTTCTTCTATGGTTGATGGACTAATAGAACGTAAAGCTGGCAAAAGCAACAGGAGTTTTCCAAAGCGACACGGCTGAGTGGGATATCTGGAATAGGAGAAGCCATGAAAGCAATAAGATCCATTACTGATGGCAATTAATATCTTATACTGGAACACACACCATCTTCAGCATGATCTCCTGATTGGGCCTCTTTAATAACATACTATCCTTGCAACAGAGTCCTAGACAGGCACTACCGTCCCAGTTTATCAGGTAGACCAAGCAAGGCATGGTAAGCATAAACGATGCTGCCAACATCACACTGCAACTGTCTCTACATTAGCAAAGGGGATGCATTTTGTTTGGAGAAAAAAAATAATTTTAACAAACATGGTACTAAGTGTAGGTCAAATAATAAACTTAAGGTTTCCAGGGTAGAAAACACCGCTGGTATGGACGACAAGGCTAGCCATAGCACCCACGTTTTCCAATTCTCAAGGCTTCTCCACCAGGCTATTTCTCTAAAATAAAATGAGTCCTTTTCTAAGCAATTCTCCAAATCATTATTCAGGCATTATACTTAGTCACTCTCAGGAATAATTCCATCCTTATTACACTGCAAATTAAAGACTAAGTTCTGTTGGGTGGCACTGCCACCCAACTTTCATGTCAATGAAATTGGCATATAATTAAAGATGTGAGAAATTGCTTAACAATTTCCTCTCTTGATGTCCAACATACATCTGGGCTCAGATATGCAAGTTCCGTTTTCTGCTGCCTTCAGATGCCTATAAACCATCTCCTCATGGCAGCCCCAATGATTCTTCAGTCAGTAGCCTGGAATCAGGTATCCATCCCCTCCACAAGGAGGGCTCCCTCCACTGAAACTGACCGCCTAAAAGACTGAGCTCCAGGACACCTACCTACAACCAAGCCAGGTTCAACCCGTGGCCATAAGGTGCCAGAAAAACTGACAGATATCAAAATTCCTTCACAGGAGTTGGATAGCTGAACACTGAGTTGAACTGCCTGATAACTCTCCCCTGCAAATAGAGGCCAGGGGAGCAGTTTTCATGACTGTCTCTTCGCTGGAGCACACGACAGTCCCTCTCTTCAACCTGATAATGGTCTGATAATACATCCTTGGCCTCTGAGGACCTCATTTGGCTCTTTCGCTTCACGACCACCCATGGACAGGGACCTCTAGACCACCTTCAATGATGTGGTATGGAAATAGCATAGCCTTTCTACATTTTAAAAAACACCCAAACCCCACCACTTGCTCTCCTTGATGAAAGTATCTCCTATGTTTCCTGGAAAGTAATCCCAAGACCCACCCCTCCCTTTCACCTTGGTCACTCACTCCCTTCAACAGCTCTGTTTCCCTTCCCAGGATCAGGCAGAGGAGAGAGAAGCCTGCAGTGGGTGGGAGGTAGTGGCTGTCTAGACAAGCCCCCATCGTGTCTGCAGCATCCACCCAACGTGCTGGAAGTTTCCCAAGGTGAGAAACCACTGTGGGAAATAATTGCTTTCAGAAAGGATGGATTTGGGACAATCCATAGACTGTTAACTCTTGATTTTCTATGAGTAGACTATCCACTAACCCACTCACCCACTTCTTTTATTCTCTAGTTTGGAAGGGGCTGGTTAGTCAGTCAACAAGAACTAATTGTCTATTATATGTGAAGTACTGTGCTACCCAGGGACAATAACATTGTGTGTGTATGTGTGTGTGAGAGAGAGAGAGAGACAGAGAGAGAGTGTCTCTGACTACTCAAAATTATTTTTTAGAATATCTATGCCCCTGACTTCATCCATCAGCAGCATAAATAACTGGAAGTTTTCTCTCCAGGTGTAAGTGTTCTGGGTCTGTCACAGATCTGAATATTTGACCCTTAGTTATAACATATAGTTTGTGTGACATGCCAATTCCTTCTCCTTACGTCCTAAAGAATTACAGAAATAGCTTACAGAGCTGTAACAACTGGCTCAGTTCTCAATTTTAACAATTAATGTACAATTAGCTCAATTGGCAACATTAACTTTTCAATTTCAGATTTTGTTTTTCTAGACAGGAAAGTGCTAGAGGAGAATGTTCACTGATTTGAAGAAGCTAAGGAATAAGGCATCATCAGTTTTGTCACATGTAGACTCTAGATATTAATATTAAATTATAGCTGTAGCTGATATCATGAAATCAAAATTGCACGTCAAAGCAAATGTGTTCCTTCCGTGAATAACTTCCCTGTTTTGAGGGTGGGGGAGAAATGGTCTATTCGCTTTTCTCTAAGACAGAGTTTTGTCAGTTTGTGGTTTCACCCCCTCTACTCTCCCCATAAGCTGCTCCTGGCAGGCCAGCTCACTTAGATTCTCCTTGCTCACCTCTCCAGCACCTCCCACAGCGCCTCTACCAGCCCCTCTACTGGCTCTCGTTGCGCCCCTCTCCCCTGCTGAGATCCTCCCAGTCAAGGACCAGCTCACATGTGCTCTCCTCCATCCATCAGTCTTTCCAGACTTTCCCTCACCCCGTCTAAACAGAACGTGTCTCTCCCACTCTCCATTTTTCTTTCCCCTCTCCTCTGGTCTGAATTGGAGTAACACTTTTTCCTGCTTCATGCAAAGATAAGGGGCAGTGTCTGGTTCTTTCTGGGGTCCCACAATGCTCACCAGGAGCCCTGCACAGAGTGAGTATTCAGTAAAGCCTGACTGAATCACTTTCCAGATATCACATTCTCCTTGGCGTAATGTTCTTTATGCCTTAAAGACTCTAAGTGTCAAAGGTCACTTATGATATCCAAGTTAGTTTTTAGTAGGGAAAAAGTGCCCAAATTATGCACTGCTCCATTTCATGATTTTGAACAAATATTAAGTGCTTACTACATACATTCTGAAATTTAACATGGATTTAAATTTAAAACCCATCTCACTTTAATTTGGAAAAACATATACACATGCACTGTCACAACACAGTTCCAGTGATGTTCCATGGACAGGGGACAGTTTTATTCATTAGTATTCAAAAGAGGATTTACAACAGAATAGGGAGATCCTAGCAGAAGTGTTATCACCCCCAATGAATACAGCTGACTTGGGGTTTCTCTGACCCCTTAGGTGAGGGGGGCATTAACCACCTCTACCCGTTTGATTTAGTTACTTCCACGTTGAGATGATAGAGACAGGCTTCCATGGGTTTCCCTCAATATCAATCTAGAGAATAAAAAGAACAGCAACTTGATTCTAACCTCACCTCTACCACAGTCCTAACTTAGGAAGCTGCTCACCACTCTTGAAAAGCCTTGCTTTTTTTCATGTGAAAATGGAGTCAGAAACTCTATACCTCCGGGTAGACCTCCCCATCAGTGGTGGGCCAGGAAGAGCATCGCTGGATCCCCAGCAGGTGAGAGTTTCTACAAATAGCCAAGAACAGCCTCTGCCAGTAGGCACTGCTTGGCCAGAAGAAACCCGGTGGGGGCTATGACTCAACCACTCAACAGATACTAATCAGCAAAGTCAAACAGCAGTCATGACGGGGGAAAGATGGCCTCTTTAGAAAGTTCTCTGGTCCTTCTCTTTGGGATGGGCATCCAAAGAAAGGCACTTGACTTTTTTAAAGGAAGATGGGCCCGCTCTCTACTATATCAACCATAACACTTTAGCCTTCATTTTTGGCTTTTCCCATATCTGGGTCCATTCATCAAAATGTGTTCAACTGTTTTGACAGATCAACTTGTTCCGCCAGGACGGCTGTAAGGCGTCTGTTGTGTTTCCCTCCAATAATCTGCTTTGGTTTACTCCTCTCACCCACCCTGCCAGATAGGTGAGGACATATACTGTAACTAAATTAACTTGCTGGCAACAGGATAATTAGTCACAATGTTTGAACTGGCTTATTACCGTCTGCTTACACATTCACAATGGAAGCAATTTTCTTAAGTACACCTTCAAGGGAAACAAAAGTCACCTGGTGTGGATGTAGCTGTTGAGAGTTAGCTGAGCTTCATCTTGAAGAGCTGCGATGGCGGCAGCATTCCGGAAACTTCTCAGTTCAGAACCACTGTGTGTTGGAACTAGAAATGAAGACCAGGAAACTGTGACAGGCAGCACAGGAAACGCAGATGGGGAAAGCTTCTCTCTGGAAGTGGATGGCCAGCACAACATGCAGACCCCTACGGCTATCAAAAGCGGGGGCCTCCCCTCATCAAACTGAGAGTATCGGCTCCCTTGAAAAACAATCACCTCTTTTTACAAGGGTCTGTCTTTGAGGTGGCTGAATTATTGAGGGGGCAAAACTGGGGAAAGAGAAGAGACATGGATTTGAGTCTGCTTACCAGCTTTGAAAGTGACAATGCATTTTAGACAGGCAAATTCAGTAGCATCTAACCGGAGTTGTCTAAACCGAGCCACCACCTCTTGTAAAGCCTGTATTTCAGATATAATCTTGTTCAGCTTCTGGGAATCTGTGTTGTCACCATTCATGCCTAGAATAAAAATATGGAATAAATGCTCTAATATGAAGGCATTTTCATGATTTAATATTGATTTTTGACAAAATCCTGCATATTAATATCTATTCAATTGTCACTCTGAGATATCTGATTCCATGTAAACCGGCTATATTGTATGAAAGTTAATATAAAATCTTCTCTTGGATGATAACAAACACAGTAATTTGCATTTAAATAACAATGCAAGCAGTCATGAATACAACAAAACAACATTATTTGCATTTAAATATAGATTTATAAATGACAGGTATACGCTATTGTTCAGCAGGAATTTGTTATTCTTTACATGTTGTTCTTTTTTCAGTAATGTATTTTTATGGTAATTTCTACAACAAAGTCATTAAATTGTGCAATTCTTACCAGATACAGCCAGTAGAGTGTTAGCATCAACCGGAATGGCCCATTGTGCTATTCCTAGAACAAACAGTTCTCTCCAAGCATCTTCCAAAAGCATCAGCTGTCATACAATAGACGTATAATATAATATAGTGTGTAATTTATAAATTTATAAACAATTGCAATATGTAAATTTCCATTATTTTAAAAAGTGTTTTAAATGCCTGTCTTGGTCATTTTTCCTCTGAATATTTTAGCTTTCCCTTATTTTCCTGGATTTTCCTTTTTGAAAAGGTGCCTATGGATAAGCACATGCAATTGAAAGTCAGCCATCCCAATTCCCCCAACTTTGCTTCCCCTGGTAAAGGGTTTATCCTTCTTGTCCTTGCATCCATTCCTTCTTAACCACCTAGAAGCTTCTGAGATCCAAGATCTACGAAATGTCACCAGCAGCTCAGCAGGTGAATTTCCCTCATATAAAATGCTGATTTTATCCGAGTTGAGGATTGTAGACTAAGTGGGCAGATTTGGGCCCCCGTCTTCCTGGAGGGTTGAGGGGGCTGAGCCGAGAGAGAGAGAGAGAGAGAGAGACAGACAGACAGACAGACAGACAGAGAAAGAGGGATCACTAATTCCCAAGAGGCATGCAGGGAAATCAGGGTGTAATTATGTTAATCGGGTTTTGCTGAGTTTACCTCATCTCACTGCCTGATTTTTCCGAGGCTCATAAGTGGACAGCATCAAGGTGCTTGTCATTTTCATTCTAATAAAATGTGCTACTGAATATTTAAAATGAAACTCCGGCTCCTATTCCAGATTAATATACTGGATTCTACTTCACCACAGTTTGCTTGTTGTTGAAGGGTTTGCACCGAAGGGCTAAGTGGCGGACAGTAAGTAAATTTTGTTTGGATTAAAGAGTCTACAAATACTTGTTTTGAGAAAAAATAGCCAATTTACTCATACACCACAGACACAGAGCAAATGGTTAGAGTGAATGAGTAAACCTGGTTGAAGATAGAACCCAGCCATCTTGAAAAATCTGTTTTTGAAAAATCTCTCAGAAACCAGCCAGTTCTGGATGATTTATGTGAAAGGATTTCCTTTTGGGAGCTAAAAACTGAAATGTGACGGCCTGTAACCAAAATCACAATTAGACCAAAAGGTTTAATTTTCAAAATGCTTTATTTTTAGTTTATTGCATTAAGTACAGAAAATAATACTTTAAAAATGGAAGGTAAACAATGTCTAATTCTGGCCATGTCTGAGCATCCAAACCATGAAAAAAACAACATCCCAGGCTGGAATATTCAATGTTTTGAGCACATTGCCAAGTCTCTCTGTAGGAGATGTACTTCATATTAAAGGGCACTATTATGCTTTAATTAGGTATAAAATGAATTAAGGAAATAAACCCTTTACCTTTAGAACCACTTATTAGCCTTTTGGGAAATTTGTCACTGATTTTCGTGAATGCACTAGTGACAGCCAATGGTTGTGAACGCTTCATTTTCTTTCTTTCCCTTAAGGTTAGAAAAATTCTGGTAGAGGCTATTTCTGATATTCCTAACGATAACATTTCTGTGTTTTGGTACCATGCAATTTTTAGCAGCACATACTTTTTCTCCCTCTGAATGTCATTTACAACCACAGAATTATGCACAATGCCTATTTGTTTACAAAATCTCTGAAAACACTTAAAGAATCAAGGGAGACCCTCCCTGCAGGAGGTGTGCAATGTACCCTTCACTCCTGCATGCTGATAAATCAGTGGCCAAAACTGAGCATCACAGTGGAAAATATAATGCTGTGAATATAAAATGATGAGACTAGTTCCAAAAACCTTACAGGAGAATACTTTCATCTCCTTCTATTTCTCTCAGTACCAGTGTGCTTAAGAAAACATTGTTTTATTAATAATTTTAGAGGTCATTAAGATATTTAAAAATTTGTGATTAAATTTAATACTTCAATTAAACTTAAAAAAAGAGATAATGTTCTTGTAGGTTTGTTTTGCATAGACCAGATCCATCTTTACTGAAATAACATAATTACATTTCTTGCTAAGGATTCCATAACTAGATATTTCGAACCCATAGAAAGAAGCTAGTAAAAATAGGTTCCTCGGTGCTGTTAAGAATGGATGCCTGTCCTTGGCGATTTATCTGGGTAACCTCCGGCTTCATAATGATGACTGTTGCTTCTTTCCCGACCGCCCTCCCCCAAGACCTCAGGGCCCTCCTGGCCATACCTGGTCTTGCAAAGAGAGTGTGGAGAAAGCTGGCACACTCTTAGCCCACTTGATGCTCATAAACAGAAGCCTGGCAGCTGACTCGCACACTGACTCGGTGGCCACTTCATAGAGATACATTGGAGTCCCATTCACTTCGTGGGGGTACTGGGTGGGGAAGAGAGACACCAGAGAGTGAGGAGACCACAGCTTTGCCAGAGGAGCCAACTTTTTAACTTTATGATTAGAACAGGGAAGGAGATAGGAATTTGGATGTTCTACTTAAATGGGCTGTTGCCATAGGGGGATAAAAACCAAACATCTACATCCACAGAACTTGGGAAATAACAATTTTTGGAGACGCCCATTTCCACTCTTTAGAGGCCTGTTCCTTCCAGAGGGGGCATCTGGCTTTTCTATCTTGTGCAGCAAATTTTCCTTGGGCTGAGCCAAGTGCCAGGCCTGTCTCCCAATTTAGACAAGAGCTGCTTGCATTTGTGTAAATAAAAATAGATGTGAAAAAAGTATAAATTAATAGGCATCCCAAACACAAATATGCATATGAGTATTTTTAGAAAGGATTAGTATATTATGGAAATATTTCAATTAGACATCTTAATCATTCACAGAGCATTCCCATTCATAACTGACAACATATTCATAACACTACTTTCCCAAGCTTATTATACACATCAAGGGTAAGAAAGCAATATTAAATATTGTGCGTGTGCATGTGCCCAGGTGTTTGGCTTCCTGCAGCGTGGGGCTGCAGCTGGCCCTCCTCTGGGGGAGGCCCCGAGCCCTGCTCCACTTGGAGTGGGGGCTTTGGGTAGGTACCAGCTGGAAGCCTGGAGGGTAATCCCTAGGTGGCAGCCTTTTGAGGTTGTTCTGGCTCTGGCCCTTCTAGTAGAGGCTCAGTCTTGGTGTAAATCCACGTATGTCAGAAGAGAGAGTGGGGAGTGTGGGAAAGGACGCCAGGTTCCTCAAACTGTCTTGGCGGGTGAATTCCACATTTGTCTCCTGCATTAGGGAGCCATAGCTTTGCCCAAGAACACACATCCCTGAGGTTTGCAACTCGGGCTCTTCTGTCAGCTGCAGGCAACTCCTTTCTTCTAAAAACAGACGTCTGCTCTTCTAGCCTCAGGGAACTCCTAGGCTGCCCGCTCAGTTCAGGCAGGTTCACATCTGGGTTTTCTAAAGGAGCGGGTTCCTGAGCCCGACCTCAAACTTGCAGAAAGGGACTCTGGGGGGCATGGGCCTGGAGTCCACATTTGTAGCCAGCTCAGAGTGACTTTACCTCACGCTAAAGTTTGAGCACCTCTGGCTCCACAGGGAAGAGCAGGAGGTCTAGAGTGCCCTGCAGAGGCCGGCCGAGCACCCCGCGAGGGCTCTCCATTTTTTGCTCAACCCCACCCCACCTCAGAATGAGTGGGTGCGCCCCTCTCCGCCCTGCACTTGGCGCGATCTCCTTGGGCCCAGCAAAGCCACTGACCTTGGGCGTGGGCTGAGCCAGGCTCACGAGGGTCTGCCGCTCGGGGGTGGCGGACACGGCGGCCAGCTCCAGGCCGTGTGGCTCCAGCTGCGTGACAGCGGTGAAGAAGGCGGGCGCTGGCAGCGCGGCGGAGGGGAAGTGCGCGGCCGCCCCGTTCTCCTCCTTGTGCCCACGGAAGTAGAGGGCCACTTGCTTGCGGATGGTGGACGTCCGAGGCCCCCGCTCGTGCTGCACGGCTGCAGAGACAGACAGACGCGTGCCTGGGATCAGAGACTCGGCGACACTTGGCCGCTGCCCGCGCTCCCGGGCCAAACGCCACATCTGGACAGGCAAAGTCACCCCAGAGGCGAAGAGAGCGAGGGAGAGGGGACGTGAGGGCGGAGGGTGCTCTGAGACCGTCTAAGTCTTACATCGAATGCATTAGGAAGCTGAGGCCAAGGAGAGGTCACGACACCGGCCGAGCTTCAAGCAAGACTAGATGACTTCTCTATCCATTGAAGGCTCCTCCCCACCCAAGGGAGGTCGCAAGGAAACCGAGAGCCTTGGGACGGAGCAGCTAGGTATCCTCGTCCGCAACCAAGGGGAGAGGGAGCATTGCGCACAGCCAGGCACCACATCTGTGCACGGAATTTTCCCGCTCCGCCCAGGGGCGACTCCCCCCACCTCCACCCCCCGCCCCCGAGGAAATGTCGTTTGGCCTCGGAGGGCCCCAGGAGAAAAGGACCCGAGCCCTGAAGACTCTGGGAGATGGGACGAGGGAGAGCCTGTCTCGGAGAGTGCTGGAGGAAGGCAGGGGAGATGTGACAATTACCACCAACGGTTTAAACAAACAAATTAATTCAGGGCAATCTTCCGCTCGCCGAGCTTGACAACTTGTCAATACACAAGTTCAACAGGTTGGACGCTCCCTCCTGCTTCCTGCGCTGCGGAGGAAGGAGCACTCCCCAGCGGGCACGGTGCCTCCTGGAGCTGTCACCCGGCCCGCCGCCACGGCAAAGCCCCCTCCGCACCCTGTCCTGAGGCCCCATTCTTCCCTCCTGACCCCTACCCCCGCCCCGCCCCGGCCTGGGGCGCCCTCGCCAGGCCACCGCGCGGCGCGCACTGGGACGGCGCTCTGTGTGCAGCCAGCATCCTGACGTCCTAGTTCTTTCTTCACGTTTAAGAGCCTTCTGGGAGCTGGGTGTCCGAGGCACCCAAGGTGTCACCCTGCCTGTCCAGCCCTTTCCTGGAGAACCGAGAGAAGGCCTTGAAAAAGCCCAGCTCTCTATAATGGCCTTCCTGATTTTGGAATCTTGATGAATTTGCAAACAAGGGCTCGAAATTCCCAGTGTTCCTGTCTCTGCCCTCCCTCCTCCTGCACACCGTCTCCAAGTCCCCGTGATTTCCTTCCTGGCAGACTATCCGGACTGCGAGATCCTGCGGGAGGCTAACAGGCTTAAGGGTGGCCACAAAAAGGGCTGCAAGGAGAGGCGAGAAGAGGAATTAGGAAGCGAGGCAGGAAATATCCGTAGCAGAGTGGGGTCCCTGGCAACGACGCCTTTGTGGGGGCTCAAATTTGCTAGGTGGGCATGGGCCTTGCCTAGGGAGTTCAATGAGGAAGGATACACCTGAAAGCCCGAGGCCAATTCTCAGCATCTGGAAAGAAGTGTTAGGGAGATGATTTGCATGCATGGGGGGCCATGTATTTTCTGTACATATAATTTACTTACTACTCAATCGACATTAGACCAATAAAAAGATGTATTGATTACCATCTTTGTTCATGTTGACTTCCAAACACTTCTTGAGCCGACACGCCCTGCACTGGTTTCTGTGCGTCTTGTCCACCGGGCAGCCTCCCTGGAACAGAGCGCAGGCGGTCAAGCGGCCCCCAGGGCCTTCAGGCTGGGGATGCGAGGCCGGCACCGGGTAAACGAAAATGTCGTGGAGGTGAGAACTGACCCCGCCACCGACCCCGGAGCGCCAAGCCTGGGTCCGCGAAACTCCAGGGCCTTGGGCACCAGCAGGGACAGGTAGAGAAAGAGCTAGGATTCCCGGGGCTGCTTCAAGAGGACCAAGCCCTGATCCTATGAAAGCGGACAAGGAGGAAAAGTCCTTCTCCAAGCAGGTGAAGGGGCGCAGCGCCCGGCCGGCCAGACTCTGCAGCGCTGGGAAGAGAAGCTGACGAGGGGAACTTCGGCCAGGCGCGGAGGTGGTGGAGCAGGGGCGAAACTTTTCAGGACCGAAGACAGCGACCTGGTGCCGGAGGAGGAGGCCTCAGAGCAGTCGGGAGTGCGCTGGCCTGCCGGCATCCCCGCCGCCGCCCCTCTCGCCAGCTATGCTTTCCTTCTGCTTCAGGTCCGGTTTACCTCTTTCGGTCATTTTCTGGGTGAGCCCATTTATCTATCAGATAAATATCTGCTATTTATCCCTCACTTTCTTGTTTCCTCACTTTTGCCTTGGTACTTGAAATAATCCTTATAACCAGCCTGTCAAGAGTTCTCTTAAAGACTAGCCTCAGCCCAGATTCATGGAAACACAGCCATTCCTAGAAGGTGAGGCAGAAGCCAGTGAGGTTAGGAGGGCTTCGTCTACAGAGGTGTGGGTGGGAAAGGAAGAGCCCAAAGCCTGGGCAAAATCTAGAAATGCCTCCTATGTAAATATGACAAGGAAGCTAATGTGATGGACTATCCGACAAAACGATAATATGGACTGAGAGCGACAGCCCGATAACTGAAAAAAAGAGGTAATTGCTGCCTTAGAAATATTTATCTAAGATGCGTGAGAAAATAAATATTTTATCTAATGCAATTTTCTGGAAAAATATTGGCCACTAAAAGGAAATTGACAGAGAAAATTTCTTATGGAATTTATTCAGCGTTAGGTGTCATTACTGAGGGAACATATGCATAGATACATAAAGAGTCAAATCTACATACGTATTTTATACACAGAAAATACATAAGAGGTTTGGTGCTCTCCTATGTTTATATGACTTGCTACTGTTACATTTGCAGTGGGAAGGAAGAGAATAAAATAAATGCATGTTTATTTTGCTTCATGATCTCAAAAATTCATATACTCTGAATTTGGAGTAAGCACATTTGCTCAAATATCCCTTAGGGAAAAATTACACACTTGAATACACAATTTTATGAGATCACACCTCTCCAATTTAAAATATGTTGACTTATTTAAAATAAAGGTAGGGCAGAGGTTTTGTAACAATTTCTAAATGTCCTCATTACTGTTAATAATAATTTGGAGTATTATTTACCTAATTTTAGAATAAAAGAGAGAATGGAAATAATTTTGGGTTCCTAAGTGAATTCTTCAGGGCATCTTTGCTGGCCAGTGTAACAGTTCAACGTAAAGAGGTTTAAAGAACTTATTGAATGCAATCATATGTCTATCCTCAGATGTTATCCTCCTAGTATTCTGATAAACATGCTAATGCAAAATAGAAGTCTTCATTAGTTCTTAAGAGTGTCTTCAAATCAAATGATGTGTATGTAAATATCAGGAGCTTGAGAGAAAGAAGAGCGCCTCAGCTCAGTCCATTTATTCTGTCTGCAAGGAGAGACCACCAAGCCTGATGAGTCTATTATCACTCCTTTACAAGTACTTGGACTGACATCAATATGTTTGAATTGATAGCCAACCCCTTTGAAAATATCAAGCATAACATCTGAGATTTTGATTCCCCAATTCTGTGCATTGCATAAAAGCAAAAGATAATTTAAGTAGAAGTCTGCTCAAATTTGATGACCCACAGTAATCCCCATATTTCTGTGGAGCTATTAGGATACAGTCCTGTGTGTGTATAATGTGATGGGTCCCTATGGCAGAGCTAAAAATTGATACAGAGCTGTGTACCAAATTAAACAGGTAACAGAGCTAGAGAGTTCAAAATAACTTATCCAAATGCAAATGTCTTCTTCTTTTTGTGGATAACTCAAATCTATCAGAAATTTATATGAGCAGACATGGCTTCAGAAAAAGATGGACTAATTCACTAGCACCAAACAATATATATGTAGGTATATACATGTATCATATGTATTAATTAGTGAGAATGTTTTCACCATTTTGGTTACCAAAGGATGACCTCTGACTAATACACTCTCCAGGATCTTCTCGGGAGTTAAGGTGGTAGCTCTGAGCTGAGGGTCTGTGTGCCTGGCTAAGAAGAAGGCAAAATATGGGACCAAAAGACTGATATCCTAGGTTGAAATAAATCTACTACTGAGCTAGAAACTGAGTCGGGGGTTCTACTCTCTCTTTCTGGAAGCTTTGACTCACATTCAGCCCATGCCCTGACTCCCCATTCTCTTTGAGACCCCTTCTGCCTGCTCAAGACCAAAACACAACCAACCAGGCACGTCTTCTAAGCAGAGAAAGAGGAGACATGGGAAGCTTGGAGAGGGTCCCAGTTAGCCCTTCCTTGGGAGCCTTCTCGCTCACTCGGCCCTTTTCTGACCAGGCCCAGTTAAAGTCACATGGGTGCTGAAGCTCCTTTGCCCTTCTCAAAGTTGAAAGGGCACAGTCCCTCACAAAGCACATCGTCTCTGTCCCAAGCGGCCAACTCTCACTTTGGGCCTCAACTTTGACTGTGATGCCCTGTGCCTTTTACTCCTGCCAATCAGGCGAGTGGTCAGTGCACTGAGCTTGGGTGCTGGGGGTGGGGTGGGCAGGCAACACAACATAGCCTTTTCTCCTGCTTGCACTTGTGGTTTATATTCTAAACTTCTTTAGGTCCTTTGGGCTGGCCTTATAGCCACTGGGTGTAGGCCTTACCCAGTGTAAAAATCTATCAGAAGATTAAAAGGGCAGGGGAGGGGGGCGCAGGGGGGGCGCAGGGTGTAGGGAGGCTGGGGGCATTCAAACTTCCCCTTGCAAACTCTTGTCTTCTCTTACCTCTTCCCGCCTCTCCCAAGCGAAAGGGCCTCTGAGAGTGGAGGCAGTAAGGAGGGGAGAGGAAGGGCGAGGTCAGGGCCTGGTCTCTCCTCTGTAGCTTGGAAACTCAGAGGCGGCCTTGGCACAAACAAAGGAGGGGGAGGCAGCGGAGGGGAGCCAGGCAGTGCAGCCCTGGCTAAGGTACCTGGTTTCCAGATTTGCAGACATACGTCCTATTCCTTCGGATGCTCCGTTTGAAAAAACCCGAGCAGCCGTCGCAGGCGTAGACCCCGTAGTGTTTCCCCGAGCTGCGGTCGCCACACACTTTACAGGGAATATCTAAAATGCGGCCTGAAATCGCAGGAAAGACCGGGAAGGGGGGATGGGGCGAGAAGGAGAGGAGGGCGGAGGAGAGGGAGGAAAGGAGAGAGAGAGAGATGCTAAGCAATCTGACCTCTGAAGGGATTAGCACCGAAGCTGCGGTAAAAGCAAATAATGAAGTGATTTTATAGCCAAACTTTTTTTCCTTGAGCAAGTGTCAGTTTCCTACAATGAGCATTATTCATGCACCGCTACATGTATTTGGGTCTCCTCTAATCGCCGAGGCCCATTTTGGAATAAAAGATTACAGCAGGCCGGGGCGGCAGCGCAGCCCGCCGCTGCCTTTCTGCTCCGCGCAAAGTTTGGCCGCCTCCCTCCCCGGCTCTTGCATTTAACAGAGAAAAGTTGTTAGTGAGCGCGCGAGGAGACAAACTTGAAATGTAAAAGGGAAAAGAAGAAAAACAAACACGGCTGGAACCAGGGATGGCAGCTGGAAGGCAATCGAGTTTTCTCTGAGCTGCCGGGCGGTTGTTATTATTAGGATTATTATTGTAATGCTAATACTAGGATTATTAATGATAATAAGGGTAGTGGTAATTGCCCAACTTTCGCTTTACCTATTTAAAAAAATGCTGGGTGGATCGCTTTTGAGAAATTATTTCTTTTAGGGAAAAAAAAATTTCTTCCCAAAGTAACTAGCACCGGCCTAGGCAAGCGGGAGGGACGTGATGCAAGTCGATTCGCTAGCAGGTCAAGTGGGACCTGTTACAGCCCCTCGCCTTCCCTCGACTCCCCGAGTTCTTCCTTCTTAGAGACCTGCCTCCTCACGCTGGACCCTGTGCGGGTCTCTCCCTTCCTGTTTTTCCACCACTGTCAGAGGCTAGTTTTGTAAAGGATTCGACTGGTTTCTCTAGATTGCCCCCCACCCCGACTGGCCTCGACAGTCGCCTGGCTTAAGAGAACTTTCCTCGGGATCCCGTCAAGCCTGGGGTGGCCGCCGGCCCTGGAGGAATGTCAGGAAGGGGGTAATATTCCAAAATTCAGTAGGGAGGGAACTACTTTTCTCGAAGGTTCAAGAGTCCAACCAGTTTGAAGAGGTTTATAGGGACTTAGAAATCCTTCTTCCTGCAAACAATGGGGGTATTAAATAAAGTGGTAACTTAACGCTTTAATAATAATGATGATGATAGTTAATAATACTAGTTAATAATAACTAACTTCTTAACATGTAGTTTTCCCGTCGCTGCCCATTCGAAGGCCTCCAGTCTGGGCCCGGCGTCCTCGGGCCTGGGTGAAACTCGACAGCTGCTCCCCAGAGCGCCCCGGATGGGGACGCGATTAGGCGGGGTGAGGAGAAGCAAGGGTGACAAGGATGTGGCGAGGGGACCAGGGGAGGCGAGGGCGCGGCGTGCGGAGGGCCCTCGAGGAGGCCGAGGTGGAAACTTGCTGATGGATTCTCAGGCGTCCGGGGGGGGCTGGAGCACACCCTGGGCTGCCGCCTTGGAGGAGGGGTGGGGGGGAGCGGGGGAGAAGCGCGGGGGGGTGGGGTTCGGTAACCACCAGGCTCGGCTGGGGTAATTACAACCCCTCCATAGCACCTGCCTATAGAGCCACCAGTGACCCGTCAAAAAGAGTAGCATGGGAATTCGGATGGCGACAAAGGGCGGCGGGGGAGACGCGCGGCTCGGCCACCATCTCCTCGGTTCCCCCACTCTCTGAGGGTGGGAGGAGAGGTTGTGCTGGAGGGAGGGAGGGGCTGGAGAGAGCCAGGCGAGGCCACAGCGGGTCTTGTCCCTCGCCCCCTCGGGCCTGTCCCTGCGCCCCAAGGAACTCACGGGCCTGCCAGTAGCCTGGCCGCCAGGCCAGCTCGGCCTCACCGCACTCACTCTGGAGGCAGTAAACTTGGTTGTCATATTTTGCAATCATACTGCTCTGCAGAACACACACCCCTCTGGCTGAGATGGGGTCCGTGTTTGGGGTCCAACCATTCTGTCGCCCCAGCTGTCCTCCTCTTCCCAGTGGCACTTTTGAGGATGCCAAGACGAGCACGCGGGAGGCGCAGTGGTAGGGGCTCTTTTCCCCCGCTGCCCATCCAGACAGGAGGCCAGGGACACCATCCTCTGGAGAACCCCGCGGGGGTGCAGGGAGGACCAGGGCGGGGTGGACGACCCTCCTCGGGCTCGGCGCAGACCTCGGAGCCGCGGCTCCCGGGGCAGATTAGAGACGGCAGACCCGCCTGGGGCGGGGCACAGGAGGGAGGGACGCAAACATTCCGGGGCATAGCGGGTCTGCGCCTCAGACTCCGCCACCCAGCCACGTTAAGGTGACTTGGGGTCACGAGACAAGCTGGTTGACCCCGTTGCAAAGCTCCTCTCATTTAGCAAGCCGAGCGAGCTCCGACGTGAGGCGAGCGGGAGTTTCCCGAGGCTGGAAAACCGTTCTTAACTTCCCTCGCCAGGGGGTCCCCTTGGGGCTTTTTGTGTGTCATAATTGCCTAAAGATATATGGCAGCTTCGATTACTGTAATTACCATCAGAGACTGTTGAAAGAAGTTAGTCTGGGCTGCAGGGGTGACTGGCCGGGGTCTTGTTACCACCCAGGCGGGGCTCCCGGGTGACAGCGCTCTGCTCTCCAGCCGGGCGAAGCCGAGCCAGGCGGGGGCTGCAGACCTCGCGGCCCGGCTCGGCCCTGACCTCGCCCGCTGCGCGCCGACCTCCCCGCCGCCCGGGGCCGAGGGCCGCGGCTTTCGGGCCAGGCTGCCGCCGCCGGTCTGGAGAAGGCCTGGACGCGCCGGCGCCGCGGGCGGGGCTGCTGTCCCCGCGGGCCGGGGACCCCTCTGCAGCGGCGTCGGGACCCGCGCCGGGGCTCCGGGCTGCCGAGGCCAATCTCTGTCTCTCGGGACGTTGGAAAGCTCCAAAGTTTGCCCAGTACGTCACTCCGCCGTTCCTCCTAAAAGTCCTGAGGGTCCCCTGCGTCCTCGTGCACAACAGGCGGGCGCAGCCCCCCGCGACCCTGCTTGGCGCCGGCCGCTTCCCTCGCCTCCCAGGCCTCGCTTTTCACACCCCCGCCCCTAGCCCGGCGGCTCCACACCCGAAGTGGGCGCGAGAGTCCGAGCCCCCTTACTTCCAGGCAAGGAAGCCAGGGCCTGGCACAGGGCGAGCGAGCCAGGAGGCTGCCGAGCGAGGCCTGCGGGCTTCGGTTTTTGCCATGGAAGCTCGGAATGCAACAGGAAAGGGTCACTTCGGCGCCTCCTGCGAAGGCCCCTCACACGCGGGAACGTGGGCCGCAAAAGGCGAGCTGGCCTCCCTTCCCAGAGACTGCGCAGGGAGGCCGGGGTAGGCCCGAGGCTCGCTGCGGACGCTGGTCCTTCTCCAGGGTGGGCTCCAAGGCGGGACGCGGCTAGAGTTCCTTCTCTCTTCCCCAGATCTAGACATTTCTCATTTTCTCTTTTTGTTCGCGTTCATTTTACTCTAATTTTTAAAACGTCAGCACCCAAACCAAAACAAACGGGCAAAGTGAAAACACCACGCACTTCGGGAAGGGGGGTAGAGCTGGAATTGCATGCCACTTAAGTGGACCTCAGAAGTATCTCGAACGCTCCCAACTTTCAAAGACTCAGGACAATGTGGGCGAGCGAGGAGAGGGGGACTGAGGAAAGCACAGAGCGTCAAAAATGCCACAGGCGGGTGCAGAAAATCTCAAGGCCGGAGGGAGAACTCGAGACGTGGGGACGGCGGCAGCGGCCACCCCCGGCCTTGGACCCCGGAGGCGGCAGCCCCGGGCCCCCGGAAGGCGGGAACTGAAATGCCCTGGGGAGATCCGAGCACTGCGGCCGCGCCGCCCAACCCCAGCTCGGGCCTGCACGTCTCGGTTCCACAGGCACGGTGTACACAGATGCCCTCGCACACACTCAGCCCTGCACGGCGGCGTCTAGGGGAAGTTAGAGACCAGCCTCGGCTTGTCGTTCCGAGGGAGAGCCACCGGTAAGCAAGTCTGAGGAAGGAGAGGAGCGCGCGAAGGGAACAGGCCGCACACTCCTGCCTCTGCCGAGCTCCCGCTCGAAAAGTACTTGGGATTAGGGATTTGGTCCTCTCTTTGCTAGAGCGGTTCGCCATACTTTAAATTCCCCAGTTATGACCTACGCGGATTTAGGATTAAGGAAAATGTGACTTTTAAATTGTTTCTGCTTCCCGGTTTGCAGGATTATTTGAAACAGCTAGAAACGGGGTGCAAAGCATTCCATTCAAATCCGCTTTGCGCAGAGTTGCTTTTGCGCCTTGGAGCTCGGAGTTTGGAGCGAGCGTGTTATTGTGCTGCCGCCTGGAGCTGCGGCCTAGTTCCCGCCCCCGTCGCCCCCCTCCTCCCCGCACCTGGCGGCTAAGTGGAGGCAACTCGCCGGACTGGTGGGCTGCATGGGTCGCAACCTTCCCACCGCACCAGAGAGAGGGGGGAACCAAGCAATCCAGAGGTAACGAAATTGCTCTTCCCTCGCCAGGAAACGCTCCGACTCACAGTCTGGAAGGAGCTGGGCCAAAGCGCGCACGCCGCCGGAGTACCGCTCCCGGGCTCGGAGCCGCAGTGCTCGGGGCAGGACCTCCCAGGCCTCCCCGCCCGCCCGCCCCAGGCTGCGCGCCGCCGGAGCCCCGCGGCGGCCGGAAAGGTACCCACTTGTTGATCCGGCGGGCTTGCTCATGCTGGCGGTCCCGGGGCGGAGCGGTTGGTGGGCGCTGCCCGAGTCCCGGCCGGCAGCGCCCGCCTCGCCGCCGGGCGCCGCCGCTCTCCAGCCGCCCTCCAGCCTGCGAGGCTTCCGGGCCGGACAGGTGGGTATCAGTCGCGCGCTGCGCTGCTCCCCGAGGGCTCAGAATTCGTTCCACAGTGGAAATTTAAGCATCCTTAAGTTTCTTCCCGGCTCTTGCAAAACCGCAGCTGCTGGGAATGTTGCTTGATATGGACACACGCATGGACAGACGAATGGAGAGACGGACAGGCAGATCGAGGAAGAAGGGAGGAGGACAGCGAGAGAGGGGTATTGAAGGACAGAGATGGAGACACGAAAATGGTCTTCCTACGGAGCAAAAAGGGTGAAATCCCTCTCTTTCCCCATTCCGGTCTCTCAGTCTTCAATTTCTCCCTCTACATTAGGCATGCAGAGTATGCATAGATCTCTACAGGCCGCTGGTCTTCTAAGGAGAGAAGGAAAACACAACTGCAGGCTCAGGCAGATGCGCTCGGCGCTGCCCAAACCCGAGCGCGGGGTGCGAAAACTAGATTGCTGGGAAGTCTTCCGAGGAAACAGGCGGCCAGGTCCGGGTTTCCGGGGAGAGCCGCGCACGCAGCGGCAAAGGGTCCCCGAAGTTCATTACCCCGTGACTTTGTGCCTGTCGCTGCGGGCTGGGTCCCCTGTAATATCTCCAGAAGCGCTCTGACAGGCAGCCGCGGGGAGGGGAATAGGGCGTCCCTGGCCCACTTAGCTTTTCCCCCAACTCCTGGCGGGGTCTGACGTCAGCCATGTGCAGGGAGGGGATGGGAAGAGGGAGGGGGTTAAATGCTAATGATATTAATGAACCTCCAAGCGGCTCCCAAAGAAAATGCAGGCGCTCTCGGAGCTGACGAGTTGCAGAGTGAATATGGGAGTGTGGCTCTGTGCGTGCGCGATGGTGAGCACGGTACTGCTCTTGCAATAAAAATGAATTACTCTATTTCATGGCAAGAGGGGAAGGGGAGGGGAGATGGAGCTTTCTCAAAACGCTTTCCCCCTTCTCTCCAGAGTGCCAGACAGGTTCGTGGAAGAAACTGGGTGGCTGTGTGATTGTGTGTGATTGTGCGCGCCGGCTATGACCGTATGAGTTCGTTCCGTGCCCCTTCTGTTGAGTAAAACTTGGATCTGGTCCGAGGTGAGTAATTATTCATTTTGCAACTATCTACGGAAAGTTAGAGTTGAGGACGCTGTGTGCAGACTTGGGGTCTGGGATGGGGTCTGCGGAGGCTCCGAGTTCCTGCGGCCTTCACGCGGTCCTCTTGGGCACCAGCCGCGGGGAGGGTGCTGCTTGCTTCCCAAAGCAAAGCCCGACCGGAGCACAGCGAAGCTCCTGCCGCCTCCATTATCTGCGCTGGAGCGGCTGCAGGGCAGAGCTTCCCACCCCACCCCCCAACCCCCGCCACCCGCCGCCTCCTGCCACTCGCAGCTCGTTCCCAGTGGGCTTCGCTGACCTCCCTTCTCCAGGCCAAGGGATTCTGGAGAGCCCACCCCGCCTCAGCACCTCGCTCCCCGGCCTCCACCGCCTTCCCGCGACTCCACTGCTCTTTCGCGCCCTGGTTGCTGCGTCGCGCTGAGAGAGCGCACGCCGAGGGAGCGGTGATCCCCGATCTCTAAGAGATTAATTCTTATTTAAGCTCTCCCAGCAGCTTGAACTTGTCGAACAAGAGCTTGCCAGCCTCTCCTCGGGGCATGGGCTCGGCCAGAGGTCAGAGGTCACACCTCCTGCTCCCCCGCCCTCCGCGGCGCGTTTGCGGGAAGGAGAACCCAGGCGGGCACTGCACAATTCTGCCCGCCCACCCCTGGTCCCACTTTCCCCAGACTGGGTGTCAACTCGGGCTTTCGATCAGAGAAAGTGTGTGCAAGTAACTGCTTGCGTTCCCCGAGCCCTCGGAGGGTGCAGCATCTCGTCGGCCCGGCGTCTCAGGGGCGCGGGCTGTGCGCCACTGTCGGCGGCCGAGGCACGTGACTGTAACTTTCCCCGGCAGCCTCGGCTCCGCCTGGAGCCCGGGGCCGCGCCCGCCCCACACAGCAGAGCCCGCGGTCTCTCTGGTGCCGCGCAGCGACCAGGGCTGCGGGCTGGGGACGCCCGGAAAAGGCAAGAAGTGGGACAACTATCTCCCAAGTTACCCCTCCTCCGTTTTTCGAATTGGGACGAGATTGGGGAATT